GCTGTGCGGAGTTAAGTGCTACACTATTGTGGGAGCCACCTCTAGAATCCGTACGAGCCACCTCTTGAATCCGTACCTTTGTTCTGACTATCACTTCTGTGACCTTTGTTCTGTACTGTAGTTATGGTTATCTATTTATATAATATCTATATTTCAGTTTCTACTACTTAAATGATTTTTGCTACTCAAATGATTTGTTTATGTAAATATTTTGGCTACATAACTATCCATGGTTATTTCGTGTTCCTTATGCTCTTGGTATAATATTTCTCACTCTGCCATGTGCTTATAGTTGTTTACCAATTTTCAGGAATCAATGCACTTCATAAATAACTTTTTGGAAAGTCGGGTTGCGGAATAGACACACACAGTATTTTTATGATATTATTTATATGTAAATATCGGCCTTTTTGGTCAATATATTTTGTAATAAAAATAGAAGCTCCAATGATTATTTTGGTACCCTTATTTAAATATTTCTTCCACTTGCGTTTATTAATTTGTTTATGAATTGGCCGTGGGTAACTTCAGTTACTGGCCATCACGATGCTTAACCCTTGGGTACGGGGAGCGGGTCGTGACAAAGTGTGCAACTCAATATGGAATGAAATGCACAAAATACATAAAGGGCCCCAACCTCTATCATGATTGATCAAGAGGCAAGGGATGAACACACAATGCAATGCAACCTAGGCAAACAAGCAAACATGTAAATAACCCAAGTGTGCAACAAATCTAATGCAACATGCGCATGTTAACATGCAATATGCAATAGGTATACAACCTAAACATGTGGACATGTATGGCATGCAACAACATGTAAAATGAAACAAGCATGCAACAACATGGTGAGATGGACTTATACTAACATGGGTAGCTCTCAAGCATGCCAAAATCAGTGGCCAAGATGATGAAAACAAGGCACTGAAACTCATGCAAACATGCACAATGCAATGGCCCCGAGCCTAAAGCACAAGATGCAACTTCCCAAGAGCATGGCAAAGATGAAACATGGCATACAATGGCATACATTCCAACTCTGAAATGGCATACTAAATGACTCCAAAAATGACTCCGAAACATGCAAACACTCATGTAATGCATTGTTAAAGACTTAAACACCAAAGCTAGTGAAATGCAATACACTATAGACATGCAAAGTGATGCTCAAATGATGAAACCAACCCCAAACAGTCCCTGTGCAGACCAAAAGCAGTGGCAAAATGTGTTGGGATGGTGGCTCGGAATGCATTTATATGAAGCTCATGCAATGGCTCATAAATGGGGCATACAAGCACAACTCTATGAAGCACTTAAAACATGAAAAATATGGAAGTGTAGCACCCCTATAAGCTCTAAAATATCATGCTCAATGATGCCAACACATGCAAATACTTCAAGTTAGGCATGCAAAAGTGCTCAAAACTCAAAGATAGTCAATGCTATTACACAACAAGTATGCATGGCAAGCATTTTTTGACCATGAGGCCACAAAACAGAGCTGAGGCAGCCCAAATCATGAACAAAATTAGTTTAGAGCAAGGTCAAAATGTGCTAGAATGGAGGGCCAAAACAACATGCAATGTAAGCTAGTAAGCATAAGTTACACTACAAGCCTATGAAGCATGTGAGGGACCACCAAACCAGCCAAAAACATATTCATGGCATGCCAAAATATGACCAAAACCCCACTGAAATGAGGCCAACATGAGCTAGAAGGGCATGCTCAAACATGAAGCAAACAAGACTAGTTTGCAAAATTTACACTACAAGTGTATAAACCAAGCATGGATTGACCAAGATAGGCAAACAAAGTGGCATATAACAGAAAAATAGCCACAAATACCAGCTAAGACATGGCCAACATGAACTTAATAAAGGTACTCACATATGAGGCAAATATGACAAGTATTGAAGACAACAAGGAGAGGGGATGGTCCTCTCCTTCGTAGAACCTCAAAACACAAGGTCGTCCCGAAGCTCACAAAAAAGGCACAAAAATGAGGCCAAACAAGGCCTAGAAGGGGAGAAACAACCCCAAACACAAAAGTGATCTTAAACAAACTTCAAAAGCATGCAAAAACAAAACTTTTATCAGTTATACACTAAGCTCAAAACAGCATGCAAGATAGGCTAAAAGCTTGTGTAAAAATGGGGAATAAAGAGGGAAAATAGATTACTCTTGAAGCTCAACAAGACCAGCAGCTTCTTGGACCAAAAACCAGCTCTTTGAGACCTTTCAAGACCCTTCAAGAACCTTAGGTCAATGGTGGAGGTGTATGGCTATGAGGTGTGGTGCTAAAGGCCAAGAACAAACACTTTCTAAGCCTAAATTATAGAGACAAAGAGAGATATATGCTTCTTGCCTTAAACAAATTTTTGGAACCTCTCTAAAGGAGAGGGAGGCCCTCTCTTATAGAGAAACAAGAGGTTCAAGCTTCTTGGAGAAGCTAAAGAGGTTCAAGCTTCTTGGAGAAGCTAAAAAGATTCAAACGGTTCAAGCTTCCTCAAGAAGCTAAAACAAAGGTTCAAAAGGTTCAAGCTTCCTCAAGAAGCTTAAAATAAGGGTTCAAAGGGTTCAAAAGGTTCAAGCTTCCTCAAGAAGCTAAAACAAAGGGTGCAAATCCTCCATACACGTGTATGGAGGGCAGGGTCTGTGCCACCTGGCACTAAATATCTGCATAAAGCAGATGAACAGGGTTCGGCCAGCAGAAAAGGCCGATCGACCAACACAAAGGGCCGGCCGACTAAATACATTGCCAACCGGCCATCACTTTTGACCGGTAGCAATAAAACAGGGCCGGTGACCTCAGGCCATAGCCGGTGATGTGTAGGGATAGCCAACAAGCCATTTCCTACCCTCAGGTGCAAAGACCACAAGTCCTTGGTCCAATCAAGCACAAAACAAATAAGTCGAGAGATCTTGAGGCAAGGCGCGCGACCGAGAACTCAAGACGAACACGAACATAGATGATCATCGAGTGTTCAAACGATGACGTCCAAGTCTTGAGGACGGTCAAAAATGGGGTGTCTACAGTGTCCAAGCCCGACCCCAGCCTCGTTTGTTCCCGAACTAGTACGTATATATATATATATACTTTTTGATTAGTTTCTCTCTCTCTCTCATTCATTTCATTTTTTCATCTCATATCTTCTCTCTCTTTCTTCTTCACCTCTGATCTCTCTCTTCCTCACCGTCTCTGATCTTTCTCTCTCTCTCTCTCTCTCTCTCTCTCTCTCTTTCACTCACTCAGAGAGAGCACCGAATCAGAGTCGCCGCCGTGATGCCACGATGCCAGAGCACCGAATCTGATCTCTTTCTCTGCCGCGATACCAGAGCACCGAATCGATCTGTCTCTGTGCCACGATGCCAGAGTCGATCTGAGCAGATCTCTCTCTCTCTCTCTCTCTTCTCTACTCAGATCTCTCTTGCACCAGATCGATCTCTCTGTTGTTGATGTTGGTCGATGATGTTGTTGTTTTTTTTTTTTTTTTTTTTTTTGATCGGATGTTAATAATGTTTGTTGTTGATGATGTTGAGGATGTTGAATCGTTGCTGTCGTTGTTTGGGTTTTGTTTTTTTTTTTTTGGTCTGGGGAATTTTCGAGATCAGGGAAACCCGATCCCCGTTAGGGGGCAGGGACGGGGATGGTAATAGGTTCCCCGTCAGGGATCGGGGCCGGGAAGATGTTTACCATCAGGGATCGGAGATGGGGAGTGCGATTCCCGGCCCCGCCTCGTTGCCATTCCTAAGTGGAAGCAAATGAGCAGAGTATACATACATAGAGAGAGAGAGAAAGAGAGAGAGAGAGAGAGAGCATGCTTACCAGATGAGGTAGGGAGGATACAGAGAATCTTATAAGATTCGATTATATTCTAGAACCTCCTAATTGGCTTTAAGCTTATTAGTAGGATCTCAAGTTTTGATTAGGCCCACTGCTATTGATGCCCAGCCCAAAACCAAAATTATATTATCAAAAACTGTTGCTAATTTTGTTTAGTCCAAAATCAAATCCAACTCATTATTTTGATTCCATGAACATATTGGCTATGTGACAAAAAATAAAGAGCAATACTATAGACCACTAATTTGCCATCACTAATCCTGCCACTAGTGAGGTGGCAATTGAAAAAAAAAAAAAAACAAGGCACAAATACACTGTGGCAGTGGGTGGGACCCACTACCACATCAGTAGAGCCACCACTAATTAGTGGTCTAAAGCATTTTTGAAAAATAAATAAGTATCCACCCTCATAGCAGAACAACAAATTCCATGAATAGAAATATACGTGTCAATATATTTTAGTAGGCGGGATAGAATCTTAATCAAAAAATCGAATTGATTTAATCATCTTTAATTATTGAATTACTAATTGCAATTTGCAATTGGCCTCGTTTGAGAAGTTGTTATTTTAGTAAGTTATTTTAATTTTTGATTATTTTAATATATTAAAATTTTTGTATTTGGAAAGAATATTTGATTTTTTTGTGATTGAATGTGATGTTTATGTGAGAAAAAGTAAAATAATTATAGATTTAATGTAGCATTTTATCTTATTAAATATTTTAGTATATTTTATTTTTTATAAATTTTAACTCAAAAAAATCAAAAATTCACTTGCCTAGGACATTATTGAACCAACTAGAATTTGTACTAAAAAACTGAGCAAACTATTCAAACACATTTTTGGTAAATTGTGAGACTGGGAAGCATGTTGTTTGCCACTTTTTCTTTTGTCCATTTCTTTTTCTTTTTTTTTTGTTTTTTTGAGGTTGGGTGAACTTTCTAAATTGCAAAGCTTTTTAAGATTTTTCTTTTTAGAAATAAATTTTTTCTCTTTTTCTATTTAGTGAGAGGGAGAGGGTGAGAGTTTTCTCTTCTCTTTGGCATGAAGTATACCCATTTAATAGAGATAAGGTGGGCCCAATGTTTTTGCAATTGGTTACAGAAATCAGGAGAGAGACTAGTTGTGGAAGGTTGTAGAAAGTTACAGAGAACTCTTCTCCAGAAATTACTAGACTCATCCTCTTCCTCCTATATAAATCCCTTGCTCCTCCTCAACTCTTCAATCGAACCGAACCAAAATTGAACTCAATCTTAGCATACAAAGTTCTGATATAATCAATCTTCTCAATCTCGATTACCGAATCTTCACTTGAAGAAAAAATAATTATCAGAAATGGCGATGATTCCAAGCATCTTCGGAGGCCGACGAAGCAACATCTTCGACCCATTCTCTCTCGACATCTGGGACCCCTTCTCCACCACTCTCGCCAACGTCCCCAACTCTGCCCATGAGACCTCTGCCTTTGCCAACACTCGCATTGACTGGAAAGAGACTCCAGAAGCTAACATCTTCAAAGCTGATCTTCTAGGGATGAAGAAGGAAGAAGTGAAGGTGGAAGTTGAAGAAGGAAGAGTTTTACAGATTAGCGGGGAGAGAAGCAAAAAGCACGAGGAGAAGAACGACAAGTGGCACTGCATCGAGCGCAGCAGCGGCAAGTTCCGTCGCCGCTTCAGGTTGCTGGAAAATGCAAAGTTTGATCAGGTCAAGGCTACGATGGAGAACGGTGTTCTGACTATGACTGTGCCCAAAGAAGTGAAAAAGCCTGAGGTTAAGGTTGGTTTGGGAAGTGAGTTGACTTTTGACTTTTTTGGTTATTTTAATCTGGGCTAAAAAGTTTGATTTGGGAAGGATTTTTTGATTTTTTGATTTTTTTGACTTTTTTTGTGAGAGAATAGTGTAATGATTATGGATTGGATGTGATATTTTGCTTTTTATGACTAAAATAGCCAAATTAACCATTCCCAAACGGATAAGTCTGTTGAGATCTCTGGCTGAGTTAAAAGCCACCATTCTTTGCTACCCAGATTTTACCTTTTTTTTCTTTTGTGTGTGTGTGTGTTGATTTAATGAATAAGGATTTGTACTAGTTTTTTCAGTTTTTACTGCAACTATATCATGGTTTATGCTTGATTTGTCAATGGTGTGGACATGTCTCAATTTTATGAATAGTTGTTTTTCCTTTTTTATATAATATCAATATATATATATATTTTTTTTATTTTGTTTGTCATTAGCTCAAATTATTCACAATGATGTTAGCTATGTCATTAAATATGAGTGACGAATGTAAAAGTTTATAAGTAAATAAAAAAAATTGATTAATGCAAAAATTATAAATTAAAAAAAATTGTAAAATAATCCGTTCTTTTTTTTTCTTTTCTAGATTTTAAAAAAAAAATTGAAACTTTTTTGTCCTAATAAACTCAAAAACATAAATAAAAAATTTAAAAAAGAACACTAAAAAAATTGTGAAATGGGTTTTATTTTCTATCGAAATTCACGAGAGTTTTTATTTCAAATATATCACTCTGTTCAATTCATTTTTTTTCTTTTTTTTCTAGACTTTTTTTTTTAAAAAAAAAAATTGAAACTTTTTTGTAGGATTAAACTCAAATAAATTTTTTTTTAAAAAGAACACTAAAAAAATTGTGAAATGGGTTTTATTTTAGGGCAGTGATTCGTCCCCCGAAAAGGGGGACCCCGAATCCCCCGAAATGCCTTTTTAAGTAAAAAAAAAAAAAAAAAAAAAAAAAAAAAAAAAAAAAGAAAAGAAAAAGAAAACAGTTTCCAGAAAAGGAAATTAGGGGGATTAGGGGGAGGGATTTTAGGGCTCCAAATCATTTCCCTTTATTTTATGTTGAAATTCACGAGTGAGTTTTTATTTCAAATATATCACTCTGTTCAGGTTTAATTTCTTGTATATATGTAATGCTTGATTGATAATTTCAGCGAGTGGGGAAATGTAATATTTGTTGGGATATTGATTTTTTATAAGTTTATTTTGGGTCAATTTTGAGACTAATTTTGAGTGGGCCTCAAACGTCTTTTGTGGATCTAAAGGGGTAACGTATTTCTTGCCGCATGGCAAATTACACGGTGAATACAGTTCGTCAAAATCATTTATGAGTGAATGGGAACTTGACGTCGTTTTCGGGTTCATGGAATGAACATTTAAAGAATTAAATGTGGGTTTCCTTGTAAGGCTTGCCTCACATTGAAACTTGAAAAGAACTTATATATGTATATAAGTTCAAGGTGACAACACTTCGGTTGGACTCCAAAGCGCACCCCAAGTTTGTAAAAGAGAAGAGTTTTGGACAAATGAACTTTGGCTCAAACCACCACACGCGTCGCCACCATCCAGCCTAATCGAGTCATGCGCGGGTGTGGGCTGTGAGTCGAGTCAGTTCTAACATTAATTTTTTGGATAAAATTTATTTGTATTTCAAATTAAATTTGAATTCAAATTGTGTCCAAGAAATTGTGCCTCTTTCAGATCAATTCCACAACAGATTAAAACAGTCCAAACAGGTCTTAAATCTGTTGCACCCAGACAGATTCAAATTGCCCAGAACAGATTTAACTGTTGTACAGTTATCTATTAAAACTGCCAGCAGATTTGTTGTAGTTGAAGCAGTTATCTATTTGAATTTTGAAACTGCACCTGTTCATTCCTTTCATATCTGTTCGGACAAATCTGAACAACCACTATTTGCCTATAAATACAGCCATTTCTAGCAAGTTTTGGAACCAAAGAAAATTCATTTTGCTATCCAGATTTTGCTTTCTTGCATCAATTATTCTTCATATTATTTTAGGAAAAAATTCAGAGAGTTTAGAACACAGGTTTTGTTCGCCGAACAAATTGTTTGGAATGCTAGTATCCTGGGAGATAGACGTCAGTAGTCTGTAAGCACCGAAGCAGGGCAAATCTGTCTTAAGGACAAAATGTCACACACTCGACTTGATCTTTTCATTATTCATTTGGTTAGGTAAAATAAATTTAGTAAGTTATTTATTTTCTTTGCTTGATTTGGTTTCAATTCATTTTTTACACAAAAGATTGATCCAGCAATCTTAAGACAGATTCGAATTATTCTGTTTACAGAATTTTTCGTTTGTTTCCTTTTCTTTTTCTTCTTTTTACAAAAATTATTTTACGTGGTTTTACAAAATAATATTCTGATTGGAAAATAAATAGTAATAATATACTGTTTGACAGATAGTAATAATATACTGTCTATTTTTTTTTGACAACTAGTAGTAATATACTAGTGTCATTAACAATTCAGAATATTTATTTGTGAAATTTTGTTAGAAATTATTTTTTATTTTCAGAAATTATTTTTGAGTGTTCATTAATTAAAATTCTGCTTCAATATTTTGATTATTGAAGTGTTACATAAATTTAATTTTCTGTGTGAAATTAATTTGGTTAAATAAAATTTAATTTTATTTTCAAATTAATTGAAAATAAAAGTTACAATTCTTATTTCTTTTATTTTTACAGAATTTAATTTAGTAGTTTTGGTTTAAATTTTCTGTGTAATATAAAATTATAATTATAATTTTGTGTTATAATTTAGAATTCATGGTTACTGAAACTGGTCAAACTAATGCTCAAACAAGTATGAGTATGGTGGTTGTAATTGCGCCAACCCCTCTTTCTATTATGATTGTGCCAGTTAATCACGATGAGAAGCCAAAGAAATTCTCAGGAACTGATTTTAATAGATGGCAACAAAACATGTTGTTCTATCTTACAACTCTGAACCTGGCTCGTTTTCTTCGTGAGAATGCTCCTACTCTGAATGAGGATAAAACTGACTGGCAAGTGGTTGTTGCAGTCGATGCCTGAAAACATGCTGATTTCTTTTGTCAGAACTACATCTTGAACGGACTTGACAATACATTATACAACATCTACAGTCCTATTAAGACAGCAAATGAACTTTGGGAGTCATTTGAAAAAAGTACAAAACAGAAAATGTTGGCTCAAAGAAATTTGTGGTTGGCAAATTCCTAGACTTTGTGATGGTTGATTTTAAGACTGTGATCAGCCAAGTTCAAGATCTCCAACTCATTCTGCATGACATTCACACAGAAGGCATGTCTCTCAGTGAATCCTTCCAAGTTGCAGCCTTAATGGAGAAATTACCGCAAGGCTGAAAGGAATTTAAGAACTGTCTCAAACACAAGCGCAAAGAAATATCTTTAGAAAAATTGATTATGCGTTTGAGGATTGAGGAAGACAACCGCAATTTCTGAAAAGCGGGCTAGTAAGCATCCAATGAAGTCAAAGACAAATGTGGTGGAACATGCTCTCAAATGTGGTGGAACATGCTCCAAAAGCCAAGAAACGGAAGGTTTCTAGAGAAAGTTCCTCACAAGGCTCTAAAGGAGGGGAAACTAAAAAGTACAAGATTAATGGCAAGTGTTATATCTGTGACAAAGAGGGACATTGGGCAAAAGATTGTCGTAGCAAGGGCAAAAGCAAAAGAAGAACAAGAAAGAAACCTGCTCAAGCCCATATGACCGAAGTGGACAATATTTTCAATGGTGCAGATGACATAAATTTTTCTGCAGCTGTTTCCAAGGCAAACCTTGTCGGAAATCCTAAAGAATGGTGGGTGGACACTGGTGCTACTCGCCATATCTGTGCCGACAAAAAGATGTTCACATCTTCTTCAGTAATAGACAATGGCGAATAACTTTTTATGGGCAATTCTTCGACTTCTAAAGTTGAAGGACCAAAAAAGATTATTTTGAAAATGACATCTGGAAATGAACTCACTCTCAACAATGTGCTACATGTACCGAACATTCGCAAGAATCCTGTTTCTGGATCTTTGTTGAGTAAAAATGGGTTTAGGCTAGTTTTTGAAAGTGACAAATTTGTACTTACCAAAAACGGGATGTATATAGGAAAATGTTATATGTCTGATGGCCTTTTCAAAATAAATGTAATGACTATTTTATCCTTTGTTATTAATAAAAATGCATCTTCTTCTTCTTGCTTGCTTGAGTCTTCAAATTTATGGCCTGGTAGACTTGGACATGTTAATTATGGATCTTTGCGTAGATTAATTAATATGGAATGTTTACCTAAATATGACATTGATTCAAATCATAAATGTGAAATTTGCGTTGAGGCAAAATTATCCAAAACTCTTTTTCATTCAATTGAAAGAAATACAGAACTACTTGAATTAATTCATAGTGACATTTGTGATTTTAAATCAATTCAAACTAAAGGTGGGAAAAAATATTTTATCACTTTCATAGATGACTATACTAGATATAGTTATGCTTATTTAATTCGAACCAATGATGAAACTTTGGAAACTTTCATTCAACATAAGAATTAAGTTGAAAATCAACTTGGTAAGAAAATTAAGAAACTTAGAAGTGATAGATGTGGTAAATATGAATCACATTTTGGTGAGTTTTGTAAAGAACATAGAATAATTCATCAAACCATCGCTCCTTACTCACCTCAGCAAAATGGAATTACTGAAAGGAAAAATAGGACTTTAAAAGAAATGATGAAGGCCATGTTAATAAGTTCTAGATTATCTCAAAACTTGTGGAGGAAAGCAATACTTTCTGCTAATTATATACTTAATAAAGTACCCCGAAAGAAAGTAAATCAAAAACCTTATGAAATGTAGCATGAGAGAATACCATCCTACAAATACTTAAAAGTGTGGGAGTGTTTAGCTAAAGTGACTATTCCTAGTCCTAAAAAGACTACGATAGGTTCTAAAACTGTTGATTGTATTTTCATTGGTTATACAAAGAAGAGTAGTACATATCGGTTTTTGATTTATAGATCAGAACATTTCGAAACGCATGTAAATACTATTATTGAATCTCGAAATGCATCTTTCTTTAAACATGTGTTTCCGAATAAGATTGGACAAGAGACTAGTAATAAGAAAAGATCTTTTGATGCTATTACTAGTAATGATCAAGAACAAGATCAAGAACTAGAGCAAGATCAAAATGAAGAAGAGGAACTTACGCGTAGTAAACGTGCTAGAATCTCAAAATCTTTTGGTCTAGATTTTCTAACTTTTTTGTTAGAAAACGAGC